GGGCTTTAGGGCTTTGGGGCTTTAGGGTTTTAGGGCTTAGGGTTGAGGGTTTAGGATTTTAGGGCTTAGGGTTTTAGGGTTTAGGGTTTAGGGTTTTAGGGTTTAGGGTTTTAGGGCATTGGGTTTAGAGTTTAGAGTGTAGGGTTTTAGGGCTTAGGGTTTAGGCTTGAGAGTTTTAGGGCTTAAGGTTTAGAGTTTAGTCAGGGTTTAGGGTTCAGGAGTAGAGTAGGTAAACTTGAACTTTTGGGGTACTATACTCCCAAAAAAATCCCAAAGGTTTACTTTTAGGTTCCATGATACTGGACAAGTAGAGAATCGTAATAAAGTAGTTGGGTTTAGGCTTAGGGTTTAGGGGTTAGGGGTTTAGGGGTTCAGGGGTTGAGGGATTTAGGGGTTTGGGGGTTTAGGGTTTCGGGGATTAGGGTGCAGGATTTTTTCCTTGGGCCTGGCGAGCTTGCTGTTTCCGGGGTCTCCCGAACAGTGGCTGCAAAAAACCTCAATTCAAACCCCTAGGCCCTAAACCCTAAACCCTAAACCCTAAACCCTAAACCCTAAACCCTAAGCCCTAAGCCCTAAACCCTCAGCCCTAAACCCTAAACCCCTAGGCCCTTAACCCTAAACCCTAAACCCCAGGCCTCTTGGTAGGGTCCTCTGCCGGAGCTGGGCCATAGTCGCGCTCCGGAGTTTCCTTGGGGTTTCGGTTCCCCGAGAGCCCAAACGGGAAGATCGCTACGGTTGATGATATAAATCCTGCATTACCCATAATAAAAAAAGGTTATAGTTCCCCTAGTTTAGGGTTTAGGTTTTACGGCATTATAAACGATATACTATAGTTCTCTTAGTTTAGGGTCCTTCAGGTAATGCAGGTTTTATATCATCAACAGTATGGGGGCCTGTAAGTGCAAGGGTTAGTATAAGGGTTCTTGCATGAAATGGGGGGTCCATAGGGGTGACTCTCAGGATGACAAACGGTTTAGTGTAGAAGCCTCTATAGCCTATAGCATGATATGCCCCGTTTTCATGAAGCAGGCCTGTCCACGAACCCTTAACTGAGGAGTATACAGGTTTTTGCTTTGTGATCTAAGAATGACTTTCGGCCTTTAGGGACCGTCTTTCTTTCCGTGGAGGTTGTCCAATCGTAAATGGGAGCTTTCGAAATTAGGGGTACCTTATTTTGGGGTCCTTATAATAAGAATACTACTGTTTAGGGTACCATATTGGGGTCCCCTATTTTCGGAAACCCCCAAATCAAGCTTGAACTATCGAGCTGTTTTTTGATTGCTGGACTCTCGGGTAGCTCACACCCTGACCCGAACTCCTGGCGATCTCCAGCCGGCAACCATCGTCACCGTGTTGCGTGCGCAGCTTGAAAATAGCTGCTGGCTAGCCATGGGTGCTGCTTCAGATCACTTGTTTAGATCTGCAGGGTCCTTGCAGAGTTGAGATTTGTTCCGATGTGCATCCAGAGCCTTGAAGCTGTGATACTGGGAACTTGATCCAAAAACCCGCAACGAAGGCGACTCCCTTCCTGGCAGCCAGGTAGCATCATTGATTCAGAACTCCAGTTCGTTTTGGGGGATCCCCCCCACTTTGCTTCCGCGTGCCCTGGCTCCACCGTAGGCCTCGTTGGCCCGAAGTCCTAAAACATAAGCCCGAACCCTTGCAACTTCCTTGCCTATGCTTTAAGATGATTTCTCAATATCCCTCAAGGATAAGACAGCCCATGATCCCTGGTTTTTTCGCGTTCTCACAGCTGATCAAACCAAGCTCTGTCAAAAATGCTCAGCTCGAAAAGCGCTCAACACACAAACAGCATGTGGTTAGACGGAGCAGAGACCCATTTCTCCTTCCTGCTCTCATGGAGAATGCTGAGAACAGTCGCATCCTCATGGGCTTCGAAATCATCAGATCTGCAGCCTGCGCCCGTGAGACCCTAAACCTTAAACCCGAAGCCCAAAGTCCCTAAACCCTAAACCCTGAACCCTAAACCCTAAACCCTAAACCCTAAACCCTAAACCCTAAACCCTAAACCCCAAAACCCAAAATCCCTAAATCGCTAAACCCTACGCTCTCAGCCCCTAATTAACTCCAGAGACGAGCCCGGAATTTGAGGTTCGTGTTTGGAGTGTCGTCGTTTTCGCCGCATTCGATGGCTTTCGCTCTTGACGGTTTGGGGTTTTAGGGTTTAGGGTTTTAGGGTTTAGAGTTTCAGGGTTTCAGGGTTTAGGGTTTGGGGTTTCATATGGTTTCATTTTTTTCCGACCTCTGTCGGATCCGAACCCCAGGGTTGAGGGTTTAGGGCCCCCTGACCAAGTATGACATACCAGCCATGCCATAGGATTAGAGCTCAAATAGGCGCAGGGCTAAACTAGCATGACTCGTATGATTTAGTTTTGGCTAAATTATCATGATTGTGCTAGTTGTTATTGTTAGTATCAACAATACGTAGTCTTCCCTTACACTCCCCGTACACATACGTTGTACGGCACCTCAGGCTACCATGGCCCATGCTACTGAGTTCTGTAGTGGTTGAGGCTCCTCTGCTGGTGTTTTTGTCGAGGCCAGACCTTGTACCCTAAACCCCAAACCCTAAACCCCTAAACCCTAAACCCTAAACCCCTAAACCCTAAACCCTAAAACCTAAGCCCCTAAACCCTAATTGCCTTCATCACCTCGGCATGCAGTTTTCGTTACTGGCTTTTTGGTCTATGGGCTACATGGCGCCCTCAGGATTCTCCCATACTTCTTGTAGGCTCTCCACAAGACGGTTCTGGGGTTTAGGGTTTAGGGTTTGGGATGTATGGTTTAGGGTTTGGGGTTTAGGATTTAGGGTTTAGGGTTTAAGATTTAGGGTTTAGGGTTTAGGGAAGTCAGTGGTTGGAAGGTGTTTCCTTGAAGCGAGTTCTGACGATGCTGCTTGTTCTCTGCGCATGCTTCGGGTAGCCATTGGCAGGCGAGCCCGCTGGCACCGAGGAGGTCATGCCATGAGCTGTTTGGGGTTTAGGGTTTGGGTACCCTAAACCCTAAACCCTAAACCGTAGGGTTTAGGATTTCGGGTTTCCTGGCTGCCGGGGTAGCTCTAAACCTCAACTCCCGACAGGTACGGTCGCCACTGCTATGAAATTATCTGGTGCCTTCGAACGGGTATACTGCTTAGGGTTTAGGCTTTAGGATCTAGGTTTTAGGGTTTAGTGTTTTTACTGGAAAGGACAGTAGTCTTGATCCAGCTTTTCAGGAAGCCTGCTTACAATCTGCAACCGGGGTTTGCCAAGTTGGTGGTTGCATACTGCCGATACTTACCCAGGATGGAGGCAATGTCTGGGGCATAGGGATTCTGGTCGGATCCTGATTCGGGGTGCGGACCTTCTGTTGATGGCATTTCGGGGTATGCTTTCAGAACGACCATAACTTGTATCGAAGGACATGTCCCTGCCGGCCCAGCAGCAAGCGGTGTGCTACTCCTTGAGACACCTGGCTGCACGCTGGCCACGTTGAGCAGACCTGAATATCTGCCTGTCGAACCTACTACTTTGCGATAAATGCCGTGATTATTATGTCTGTTAGCGCTGCCGCTGCTGTTTCTGTGGCAATTATTCCATGATGCGGAAGCCGCTGCTTGAGCGGACATGACAAGCATGCCCGATGTTCTTTGCGTCAACTTGGCCCTAAACCCAAGCCCATCTTACATGTTCGCAAATGAACAACTCTGTTTAGAGGGAACGGTGCTGAAGCCTTTTCTTTTGGCCCTTTGCATGCATAAGGGTTCCTCTGAGGATCATTATACGGGTACTAGTTTATACAGGTTCCTATAAGGATTATTTTATGGGGTACCATGATAAAGGCTCCGAGGGTTCCAATAAGGGTTGCACTAGGGGCTACCATGTGCTGTATACATTGTGAATGAACCACAGGGAAGCATTCCCGAGATGCAAAGGGGGAAGGCCTAGTGTCAGAATCAAGGGTTTAGGGTTTAGGGTTAACTGTCCCTAAACCCTAAACCTAAACCCTAAACGGTTTAGGGACAGTTAACCCTACACCCTAAACCCTAAACCCTAAACCCAGTGATCCTGCACACCGCATGTCGTTCTCCTCCAGGCGATGAAGAAGAGCAGGATGAGGAGCCCGTTGGTTTTGTGCAGGCAGCAGTTTAGAAATGTGTTCTGTGCAGAAGAGTTTAGCTGGGTCCATGTTGGATACAATTTTACATTTCTGTCTTAAGAAACCCAATACAGATTAAAAATGTTCATTTTTCATATATCCCCAACATGGAACCAGTTGGGACCGCGCAGAAGAGTTTAGGGTTTAGGGTTTAGGGCTTAGGACTATCAGTCTCCCGGACATTGGCCTTGAGGGTTCAAGCCTCGACTCAGATATCTGCGCCCAGAATCGCCAACGCGACACACCGGTCCTACTAGGCTACTGTATAAGGGAGGACTACGTATTGTCTGTTTGTAAAAAAAAACAGTAGAAATGCTAGTAGTACCACTTCCAGTGTGAGGTGTTTAGTCTGGAATTCATGTCATCGGCCAAGGGCGTTCCAGAGATTCAGGGTTTAGGCCTTTAGGCATCAATATCTGAGTTGTTGGGCTTAGGGTTTGGGAGAGCTACATTCCCCGCTTTGCCAAGATCTGTGCGCACTCTATCGTTGTTGGCATCGCTGTTCTCGTTGTTGCCCTGATTATTTCTAACCTGTTCTTGAGTTGCTACTAGCAAGAAAAGTTAGACATGCAGCATTATGACAGCAACTTTTTTGATACATCTGCTAGGGCAGCTAAGTGAAGTGGCTAGCGAGCCGAGGACTTGTTTTCTATGCTCTGCTCGTTTGTCAACAACATAACACGTGACGACCTGTCGTAGTGGTGCAGGATACTATCTCTCATCAGCGCGATTGTTCTCAGCTGGTTCATGCTATTGTGACTGCTTTTGATGCCCGTCAGAGTATCGTCGGAGCTGTTACTGCCTTTATTTTTACGTCGATCGCTCTAGATTTTTTACATGATCGCTCCTCGCGGCATCAGTCTTGTTATCTGGCCGTTTTAGCTTCTGTCTTTGTGGCCGACTTTTATGGGTTTAGGGTTTCGGGTTGCCAATACATAGGGTCGAACCATGGAGTTTAGCTTGAAGTCACAGTTGTTGATGTGAGGCTTCAGTTCTTTTGTTTAAAGCTGTTTCGGTTTCACCGTGGATCTGCATTTCATTCCGTTGGGTAAATCACACCTTCTCGGAGTGGGATTCGTTCAGTTTTTTCCCGTTCCTGATGTTGCACGGAATGAAAACGACTTGAGATATTTGGGTGTGTGAGCTTTGGATGTGCGATTATGGATTTGGTGCGTTGGGTTTAGGAAACAGGAGCCATGGTTCTTGATTCAGCATTCTTGGGGGGTGCCGAATTCAAGCTACCCGGGACTGTTCGCTAGCAAATAAGCATGACCTGGCTTGCGATGAAGGATTTGGGTGCGACTCTTCCTTGCTTCCGTCCTAAAACCTTGAACCTCAAACCTTAAATCTTGAACCCCAAGCCCCTTCACCCCAAACCCCACATTCCAACCTAAACTCCAAGCCCGAACCCCCTCAGCGAGGAGGATGAGATCTCGGAGGTGGAGGACTTTGCAAGCCCTGGCCTTAGGCCTTGGGGGTTTGAGGTTCCGGGTTTAGGGTTTAGGGTTTGAGGTGTTTAGGGTTTACGGTTTAAGTTTGGGGGGTTAGGGTTCAGGGTTTGAGGCATTTAGGGTTTAGGGTTCAGGGTTTAGGGTTGAGGGTTTGAGGTGTTGAGGGTTTAGGGCTCAGGGTTTAAGGTTTAGGGGTTAGGGTTTAGGGCCCCGACACCCTACTCCAATTATTAAGACCCTTATACTACGGCCTCATGAGGTCTCAAGGACGGCAAGCCTTCATTTCTTTGTTTGACAGCATCTGCGGCTGTCTTGGCGCTTTGGTTTGGTCATAGTCATCCTTTGGGGGGTGGGGGACTATACTTCCTGAAATAGGCCTTATTAGGTCCTTATTGCTGGTATTACGGCCCCCTACCCCCTCCCCCCTACAAATCCCTCAACTCAAGAAATGTCACCGCAACCCTAAACCATAAGCCCTAAAGTGTGCGCCAGCCTGACTTCGTTCGTCACTTGCTTCGATGAATTATGGGCTCAACGATTGACGATGACAGCTTTTTCGTGGCTGCTTGAAAGCGCCTGGAAGCGCATCGCCCACTGGATGTGGGAGCGCAGCGATTACCTTTGCCCGCGGGTGGTCTACAAATGGCATCATCCTCTACAGCCACGACGGGCAGACACCCCGTCCCTGGCTTTCTATTTCAGGATCTAGGGCCTTTTTGGGTTGTAGGCTCGGTGTTTCGGGGGTTAGCGAGCGTTCTCCAAGCAGGAAGCGCAGGGGGCAGAGGACGTGCGGCAACTCGAGAATTGCCATCTTGCGTACTTACGTACGTCTACTTGTGCGTTCATTGCCTTTCGAACTTGAAGAGCGGGCAGACCACGAAACCCTAAACCTCTTAAGTCCGCAATATCCTAAATCCTAAATCTCACGGTTTCCCTAAACCAGATTGTGTCACTGCTGGGTCTTAACCAACATCACAAGGGCGTTTGAAGTAATTAACTGCTTGAAATGACTGACAACCACTACTCATGTCTACAAGACAAGGGCCCTAGCAGGACGCTTTAAGGCTTTTGCTGTATGTTACTAGTGGTTAGGGTTTAGGACTCCTTACTCTTCTGTGCGCTCTATCTCTCTCTCTATATATACATATATATATATACACACATATGTATATACTGGTGACCATCTGCATATATATATATGTGTTTATATGTATGTAAGCACATATATGGAAAGAGGTACCTGGGACGTTTTTGGAAAGGAGCGAGCAATCGGCTTTCAGGCTTTTGAGAGGTTCCTTAACGACTCCGGCCTTCTGAGGTCTTAGGGATTTAGGGTTTCTGAGGTCTTAGGGATTTAGGGTTTAAGGGATTCAGGGATTTTGGGATTTAGGGGTTTAGGGGTTTAGGGGTTTAGGGTGCTTCCAAAACCCTAAACCCTCAACCCTAAACCCCGAAGCCCCTAAACCCTAAACCCTAAACCCTAAACCCTAAACCCCTAAATCCCTAAACCCCTAAACCCCTAAACCCCTTAACCCTAGGTTTCGGGTGCCAGGTTGCTCTTCCCGGGGGGCTTCAGGGGCCTGTGCAGGGGTTGAGGGTTGAGGGTTTAGGGTTTAGGGTTGAGGGTTTAGGGTTGAGGGTTTAGGGCTTAGGGTTTAGGGTGAAGGGTTAAGGGTTTAGGGTTTGGGGTTCAGGGTTGAGGGTGTAGGGTCTAGGGTTTAGGGTGTAGAGTTTAGGGCTGCAAAGTTTAGGGCTGTGGACGCAGGATGCTGTGGTGCAGTGCTGAAGAGCGTGTCTGGTTCATAGAGGGGCCTACATAAGTACCTACACAATTTTAGGGGATCCTTAGTATGATCATAGTACAATATACCCCAAAACCCTTCTCTGACTATTAAGGCCCCTACACTATGCTCTGGTACAGAAGAAAGCCTTGAGCCGGAACCTTGAACCCTAAACCCTAAAGCCCAAACCCTAAACCCTAAACCCTAAAGCGCAAACAACCCCTAAAGCTCAAGCCCTAAGCCCTAAACCCTCAACCCTAAAGCCCCAGCAACCCCTACAGCCCAAACACTGAACCCTAAACCCTCAACCCTAAAGCCGCAGCAACCCCTAAAGCCCAAGCCCTAACCCCAAAGTTCCTTCAAAAACCGACACCCGTCGGCTTTGGCAGAAGTCCTCAGGTGATGCAAGGAAGATCAAGGAGCGCCTCTCTACGATGTTGCCCAGCATAAGAAGGGGGGCTTACAGTAGGGTTTCGGGTTCGGGGTTTATAAGGTTTAGGGTTTAGGGTCTAGGGTATAAGTAAACTTTGGGTTGAAGGTTTCGGGTCTGGGAGTTTCTGTATGGGCGCTTCTAAGGTTTTGGATGGGTCCAGCTTATTTTTTGCGCGCATTGTCATATTTTGTCAGGGCCTGTAGGCATTATAAGAGAAGTCTGTTGCGATTCTTTTATGGGCATGTTTCTGAATCCCCAAAGTGTCGGATATGTACCAAGTGCCCCAGCAACAGCAGGCGGTTTCTCAAACAGCTTTGCGTAGGGTGTGCACGTCTTCGAGCGTGGCATCGTTATAGACATGTTGCAAATTGTTGAAAGCAGGTTTGCGCAATAGCATCTTCGATTTGGTGCCTTTGTGTCGGGTGTTGAGTTTGGGGTGTTGGGCTTTGTGGGGGCAGCACACCCCTGCTGGGTTATTGGTGCTTGCTCAGAATAGGAAGTTTGGGGTGGTTTGAGGTCCGGGGCTAAGTTGTTCATGTACGTGTGGTGGAAGATCTTCTTGCTGCCTTTTTCTTGGCGTGACTGCGACGACCCTAAACCCTAAACCCTAAACCCTAAACCCTAAACCGTAAACCCTAAACCCTGCACTACTGTGATGACGGTGGCGACGGCCGCGATGGCGACCACGCCATTAGGGTGGGAGACGGAGAGCCCGATCTCCAACCTGCACGAGTATCTGACGGAGGTTACCGGCAATCGCCACGGTTTAGGGTTTAGGGGTTTAGGGTTTAGGGTTTTAGGGTTTAGGGTTTAGGGCAGGGGGTTCAGGGCTCGACGGCTCGAGGCGCAACGTTTGTGCCATTCTTATGTAATATAGGGTCCTTGGTAATTAGAATAGGGTTTTGGGGTCCATTATACTATATTTATAATAAGGAACCCCCAAGATAGTATTGGTAAGTATTTAGGCCCCTACATTACGCCAAACCCGAAACCCTCAACCCCAAACCTTAGATCGCAAGCATTCCTGAACCCGAAGCATGAGAACGCATCCCAATGGGCTTTAGGACTCCGAGGACGGGTTCCAAGTTTTCCCGAGAGCTAAAGAAGTTTCGGATTTGCTCGGTCTAATTTTGAACTCTTCCCTAAACAACCCTAAACCCTAAAGCCTAAACCCTAAACCGAAACCCCAAGCCCACGCCAGGCTCATCTCTATAGCCGCAACCTGAATCCCCTAAAGCCTAAACCCCGAAAGCCATGCCCCGAAGGACTCGACTCCTGGACCCTTCCACCAACGCCCTTAAACCCTAAACGCTAAAATCCCAAGCCCTAAAGCCCTTAAGCCCTGAAACCCTGAAGCGCTTAAGGCCTGAAGCCCTTAAACCCTTAAGCCCTGAAGGCCAGAAAGCCTTAAAACCTTAAACTTCAGACCTTCAGCCCCAAAGCAAGAGAGCCGCAACCCGGCCTTCGGAAGCCATGGAGTCACGAGGTTCGAGCACAACGATCTCATCAACAACCGGATGGCCGTGTTGACGAAGGTAGTCGTATGTCGGGATCTGGGCCTGTAGAGTGGGTTTAGGGTTGGTAAAATTTTGGGAGCGGGGCCTCTGGGTTTGGTGTCTCGACTGTGGCTAGCATAGGGCTTAGGGCTTCAAACCTCTGTTGTACCGTTCTAGAGCCCCAAGGCTCAAGGCAAGCTGCCACGGCGTACTTATCTGTGAGTTTGTTGCGCCATGGCTCCTGCACCAAAGTCGCATCTTCTGCCGCCAACGCGGGAGGTGCCCGTCAACAAGTTCAGGTAGAGATTGGATTCTGTCAGGCTTCTTTGGGCAGGGTTCATTGTTGTGACTGTGGTTGGGTTTTCCTAGCTACACTGTTGGAACCGGCACTATTGTTCGCTGACTTAGCGAGTTTGGTGACAGCTGAGATGCTACGCAGTCAGTCTGGAACAGGACTAGTAGAAACGATGCCAGCGGTTCGCGTACCACAGCCATGTTATGAAAGCCACTCATACGACTGATATGAGTGTACTACGAGTGTCACTTCTCTTGGGTACTTCAGACTTCTGATCCCGGGAATACTGCACATACTAACATGGCTTGCTGTCGCGAGTGTTGGGTCTGTCAGCTACTTTTACTACGAGTGCTCCTGCCGCTGCTGGCCTTGATACCGCGCGACAGAAGTGCAGCGATTTGATCATATACTGCTCTCCGAACAAAAGCTTGTAATCACGCTTGGTGTTTCCTGAGTAATGTAGGGGGCAAAGGTTTAGGGTGGGGGCTTGCTCAACATGCTGGCTTCCGCGAAAATGGGCTTGATCCGAAGTCTTCCGAGCCTCCTCTGCGTCTTAGGAGACGAGCAAAGCTAAACCAAGGACGACTCATAAAGGAACAAACCTTCCACTGCCACGGTTGTCAAGAGGCACGCTATGCCCTTGGCGCTTAGTCTCAATTGACCCGATTCCCTAAACCCTGACCTCTAAACCCTAAACCCTAAATTCCCTAAGCCATAGAGCCTAAACCGTGGTGATCATTGTAGCAGCCATCCCCCCTCAACTTTGAACCAACAGCCCTTCAGGAAAGCCGAATCCCGAATGCGCAACCCCCAAACCCCTATGAAGCATCCCTTGCAGCCCCTAAAGGTCTGTGAAACCCAGATCAAAGACTTGTCAAAGTTAACAGCTTTTTTGCACAATTTCTCTTCAACTGCATATACCTCTAAACCCTAAACGCGGAATCCCCAAAACCCTAAACCCTAA